CAAAAAAAAAAAAAAAAGTGCTGAAGAGAGTCCTAGGGAGATGAGGCTATTTTTGTTTGAAGCTGATACTTCTAGCTGAGCCACAAGTACTGCTTGGAAAGGGCTTAGGTTGTTTCCAGGGGGAGAACTCTGCAGAGAAGAGGCAAAGTTCAACAGGACCACGAAAAGCAGCTGAAAACAGCCAGGAAGAGCGAGAGCCCTCCGCTAGCCCTCTACCAGAGTTCTCTTAATCCCACCGTATTCTGCAAAGTACCACTTGACCGCAACTTTTCAACCTGAGTGACTTCTGCATCCACCATGACTGAGATCACCGCTGAAGGTACTGTTGCTTGGGGACATTGTGTAAATTGACAGCTACAGGCACTCTCCGTGCTTCTGTTTCAGCTGTTGTTTTTAGTAGTCATCTTGCTCTGTGAGTCTACACTGGATCTGGGAAATGAAATGAGAGGTTGCCAGCTATGTATGTTGGGGGAGTAAGACAAGGTTTCTCTGGAATTTTGCGTGTGGAAATTCTCTGCTGTGCTGGAAGAGCCCCACTGCTTTCTCACTTATCACTCACACCTCTATAAATAGCTACGGTCCTGAACATGGTGGCTGATTTCTTATCAAGCAAAAATTATAAGGCATGTGAGGATGGAGACAATTAAAATCAAAATATTATGCCTGAGGTTTCAATTTTGAAATATGATCCAGAGCACTTTTGCTTTGCAGTATTTAAAAGTTGAATTCTCAACCGTCTTCCCTTTCCAGCTAGAGTATACAGCTTGCCTGTGTGCATTTTAGATAAAAGCACTCTGAAGATGCCTATCCATTTTACTTGGATAGGTGCTCAAAGACAAAGTTAGAAATTTCTAAGTCAGATCAATCCAACTTTAAAAATAAAGCATTTAATTCTTAGAATTCCACTTATTTCGTGAACTCATTTCTTTTTTCTCTACAAACAGTGAATTCTATATTCATATTAAAATAAGTATTTTCTATTTCAAGTCTTATAATAAACCTATACATGTACAAGTAAAAATGATAATTTTTATTATATAATCATGATAGCAAAACAATTTAGACAAACACACACACACATACACACACACACTTCTTACTAATAAAAGAATCCTTTAAAAGTAATACAACCTGGCTTACTTGAGGTAAAACTTTGGGAGGCAGGCCAAAATTTCTCTCTGACAGCTGTAAGAAAACAAGGCAGGTGATACTCTTGACAATTGCCAAGTTAAATGCCATTTTCTTTTTAATCAGCCTGTAAAATAGAAATCTGTGAATTTTGTCTTTTTGGTGGGTGGAAATCTGTGTCAAAAGTAATTTCCTCTGCAGATTTAGGCAATTATCTGTGAGAAAAAAAAATGCCTTTTTTTTTAAATCACCTATAGAGATAGTCTGGCAACCCAAAGTAATAACAATCATTACAGAGATGTTTCCATTGAAAGGTTTCTTTGTTTAGGATTATATGCATATTTCCTTTTTGAGACCTCATGCCGTTCAACTAGATAGCATTTCAATCTCTGTTTCACAAAAAGGAAACTATTATTCAGATATTCCATGACTTGTGCATTGGCACATTGTAACCAAGATTTGGTGTCAGCCCCTTGATGCCTGCTTGTGTTTTCTCCTTTCTGGTAGAGGGTATCAGATTTACTGTCTGCCAGTTTTAGTTTAGAATTTGCTAACTGAATATAAATAGTATTTTTTTTCTATTCCTTGGATATTCTCTGTCACGTTGCCCTTATGTTGGTCTTGAAGAGATCTGTGTATAAAAATGTCTTGCTTCTTCCTGCACAAAGTATTAAGAAACCTCTGAGCATTCCCATCAGCCTCTGCTCGGAGCCTGTGCTGTTGCTGATTCCAGACATCGGCTGGCCAATCATGTTCCTTCATTATAGAGCATGCTCTATACAGATTTCCATTTGATCCATATCACTTTTCATGAGAGGGTAGTTCTTTTGAAACAGAACTATCATTTGTGCCTGTAGAGATTTTAAAGACATTGTGAAACCTCTGTAGTGGGACCCATGTGAAAGCAACTGAGAGAGTTTGAACTTTTGAGTACAACGTATAGTTGCTAGATAGCAATTAATTCCCATGGCCTGGTCTTGATAGTTGAGAGGGTCTGTACCATTTGATCATCAGTGATGTTCGCATTCCTTTTCTGCAATCATGTTTATTTCTCAGAAGAAACTTAGATTGTCAACTCAGTTGGATTTATCTCTCTTGAGGTTCATACCATAGTCGTTTACCTTGGTTTTCCAAAGGATTTTATACTTTTCATTTTAACATGTGATTCCCACTCTTTGTTTCTTAGCTACAACATTATTTATTTATTTATCTTTCATTAAAAAGATAAATGATAAGGTCTTGATTTCAGTTGTTCTCTCAGCCTTGAGTTGTCTTTTCTTTCATCTACCATATTTCCCAAACAACCACTTTTAGACAAATTACTGAAATATAAGCACTGCCTTAGTAATCCCATACCATTTATCGGTCTCCTTTTCTACTCACTGAATATGAAAAGCAAGAATTTTGTTGATCTACACCAAATAAGACCTAGAGTGATTCCTTGGAAGCCTAATGTCACAATAACTCTAAGTCTCTTCCTTGGATATTGTTAATTAAGGAAGTTCACAGGTTGATACCATGGCTTATCCACCTGTCCTGCATGCCAAGTTTACCAACCCTACTGAATCTTTCACATGTATTTTTTTCTATTGATGTTACAAGTTGGATAAGTTCATCCAGTAGAAGAAAGGAAACCATGCTCCATATAGAACAGTGGTCCAGGTACAGAGCACTAGATGAGACAGAACTCAAAAGTTGAACCCCAAAGAATTTCAGGGAAACTATACCCTTTGTTCTAGCTACAATAAAGAAATAGTTACAATGGTAATGATATCATTATCAACATCACTCAGTACTTAAGTAACAGAACTGAATACTGAAGACATCAGACTTGTTAAATGCATCCAAATGAAACATTGTTTTTATTGCTATTTATAAAGTATGAACTTAGGGGTGGTGGTGGGGTAAGACATGCGTTTGGCTTGAGCAGTCTTTAGCTTGTATTCAGGTCTGAAGACAGTGAAGTTGAATCGGCCCTCTCATTGTGTCAGACTCAGAGTTAGTTTGATACATGGTGGTCATTGGGTGCCTACACTAGGTACATGCCATCACTAAGTAGGTGTGATTAGACCCAGACTGGAGCAGAATCAACCAGTGCTAAAGTCAGAGGCTTTAAATAGGACTCTCCTCAATTGGCAGAAACCCAGAGATTCCCAGGCAAGTACCAAAGTTAGCTGTGGTCCACACAAATTTTCAACTACAATTTAAAATGATCAGTGAAACTCAAGTGCTTTCAGAGAGACAGTGGAAAATTTAAAGATTTCTGCTCAAGTTGTATAATTAGAAATTAGATTTTTTCCCTCTCATCCTGTGCTTAAAGGCAACAGAAAGACAGAAAAATAAATGTATAAAAGACATGAAAAAGCAAATTGTTGACCAAACCTCATCTATTGACTGATAAGATGAAAGCTAGAATTGACTCTTAAAAAGGGGGATTTAAAAAAAGACAGGAAAAAGGAAAGGAGAAAGGAAAAGAACAGGAAGAAAGAGAAAAAAGAAAAATAATAAAAGTCTCACATATGGGAGAAGTAGAAAAATGAGGATGATTCGTAATTGAGGCTAATATGAACCACTATAATACAAGCAAATACAAAGGGATATTAAGGTGAGGAATACATTAAAACAATGAGCAATCTATCACCATGGGTGGCATTATTGGACTATGAATCATGCAATCTTAAAAAAAATTCTGATGGAATTTTTGGCTATTTGACAAACTCTAGCTGTTAGATGAATCTAGGGACCTGCCCTTCTGTGCCAAATGAGATGACCACATCGAGGATAAGATTTTAAGCTATTATTATTTAGAGATACAGTATAAATTATACATGGATGACCTGATATGGTATTTGTAGTTTTAAACAATTATTCTGTAAGGGAAACTACTGAAGATGTGAGTGTGTTAAACCAGAATACATGCTGAATGATCCATGGAAGGGAATTTATCTCATAATTCTGTGAATATTTAATTATTTCCAAAATAAAGAATTTGTGAGAATAGTCAAAATGTTCAGTAATGTAATTTTTAATAAAAGTCTACTTTCTCTTTTAAGAGAACTGAGGCAGAGATGCAGATAAATTTGATTCAACAGGTTGAGACTGCTTTGTTGGAACAGTGAATGAAGGGCCCAAACCTTGATGAAGGGATGAAGTTTGAACATTAGAAGGGCTGGGGACATCTCTTTATACTTAGCTAGCTCCCAGGAAGTTACAGCCATTTTTGGTGGTTTGACTGGGAGTAAGATAGGTTGTACGTGATACCAAGGTATATTGTTTCTGCAGGTGAAGCAGACTGGTTAAGTTAAGCTGTTGTTTTCTTTTTCTTTTTAATTATGAAAGCCGGGCCAAGAGCTTAGGCTTGTTCCTAAATAGCTCTTACAACTTAAATTAACAGATATTTTTAAAATCTAGGTTTATTTACATGACTCAGCTACCTTTCTTTGTAATGCCCATTATGCTTGCTCTGCATCCTGGCATTTCCTCGCAACCCTGCCCTTCTTCTTGTGGCTAGGAGCTATTGCACAGTACAGTCGGATTCAATTCCTCAGGACCTGAGGCTATTACCCAACATTCCTGAGATCAAGAGGTCAGTAAATCCACTGGCCACCAAATTTAAAGCCAAAATTGTTCTTTTAATTGATTATTCTGTTGTTGTTATTGGAAAGCAAATATTAATGTATTGGACACAGGGTCTTGAAATACACTTTATTCTGCTGTTTCTAACAGCAGAAGAGGAAATCATAACTTAATTATCTTCATTATTACATGGGTATCTGGAGGTTAGCATCATCTCATTCATCAAAATTATGTGACAATAATTGCAGACATTAATTAGCCAAAGTTGTCTTTTAATGTGTTTTGTGGAAAAATCTGACCCACAGTATGATATAAGAAAAATCTTCCTAAAAAGTGCTGTAGAGTGGACCTTTTAAAACCCAAACCCAAATCAAATCACACCCTCCCCCCCAAAAAAAATCTTAAGTAGGAAGCTCTTGAAAAGCAATCTTTTAAATCACTAAAACAAAACAAAAGACAATAACCATTTATGGTAGATCTCAAACCTAGGACAAATGGCTAACTGAGGTGTCCATTGACATACCAAAGCAGACCTGGCCACCAAATTCTCCCTGCATCCCTCCATACATATCGTAAATAAACCTCTCCAGCCCAGAGACTAGGCTGCCCTTCCCC